AATTTCAATGTTTCTGAATATTACAGTGTACACATATTCAAGAGGTATATCATACATTACAACCTATGTAACATAAACATTGGGTTGCCTTAGCTTTATTATGAAGGAGACCCATGTGAGATCTCTACATGTTGCTTGATAAGCGGAGCTAGACATGCGTTTGTCTCCATTTCAAGCAGATTCTCAACTACAATTCTGTGTTTTGTTCAAAATGTACAATTTGAAAGCTTCCTAGTTCTTCCTATGAGGATCAGACGTATTGGTATTCTGATTTGGTGTATGGTCTTTTTGCCTTGTATGAATTTTGTTGAAAGATAATAAAAAATGGAAAACTAACAAAAAGCATCGTATTGGTTGTTCTCTCTCTCTCTCTCTGGATTTACAAGAACTTTCCATTACTAAATTGTACTACATTTTTATCGATTGGTATTATAAAACGGTAAAATAAGGAGGGTCCCACTGGGTATTTTAGTTACCCAGGAAAGTCATTTTTATTTCCCGAGATGAGTTAAACCTTCATATTATTCAGTGAGATCTGTGAGGAACCCATTTCTCTTGACTCGTGAGCGGCACTTTTATTCTTTGAAATTTGTGAAACAAAGTCATTTATACAATGTGATTCGTGATTTTCAACTGCAATTTCTATGAGATATGAATATTTTTAATTATTTACTGTGATTTGTGAATTAATTTTATTGAACATATGTGATCACTCCCCCCCCCCTCTCCCCATGGGACCCTCTAAAAAGAAGCATTATTGAGCTTTAGGGCTGATGTTAATTAGCAATTAAGCATCTGCACATACTATATTTTAGGTCATACTAGAGATTAGGGAACATTTACTCTAAAAAAATCCACTTCATACGTTGTTTTATTTAGTGTTTCCACATGCTCCATGTTTAAAGCAACAAATACACGCACTGCACGCATTGCCGCCAACCAAGCAAGCTATATATAGATAAGATATTGTGTTAGAGGAGAAAGGCACAATAGCATTTTCTTTCAAGAAACGGCATTTGGTTTTCCTTCACGTGTTTAGCGTTTTTAGCCACAGGTTATTTTGATTATAGTTTTGTTTGTGGAAGCCATTTTTCAACTTGTAAAGAACACAGCAGATTTTGAGGAGAGTCACATCATGGAAAAATAACTTCCATAACAGTTACGCTTCCATAATATAACATCGTGTGAGTTCTAAACAGCATATATTTAGATTTACAATAATTTCGTTGAAAATAAGCTGCAATCTAGGTAACAGAGGAGAGGTTCAGCCGAACTTCTTGTATCTGTATGATTAAATTAAGGAGTATTATTTTTTGTCTCTCAAACCTGTAGAAACAAAGAAATTTTGAGGACCGAAAGTGATAACGATATCACTTTTTCACTCCCCCCCCCCCCCCCTCTTCTCACAACTCGTGTGTACGCAACGAGCAGCCCTACAAATACAAGTGGGAGGCCTACGCGATATCTTCTTTGAAATCACTCCATTGGTAATTAAAATATACTATTTTGGAGAAATATTTCGGACAATATACCAAGAAATGACCACCTTGCCTTATTCAACGTTGAGGACATATTACTTTTGGCTGACAGCAGCATTCGTTTTAGTAGAAGCCGTAAGATGGCGCAAGTGATAACGTTACCTTTTCGCATCGCTTGGTATGAAAATAACGTAAGTTATTTAATTTTATTGCATTTTATCTCATGATGTCGATAATCTTGTACACATCTTCGTTTTTTATAAATAAAATCCACTTTAATTGTCACCTTGGTAACCGTTTATGTTAATCAGCAAAATGTTACCGATTTTGTCTTATCTTGAATTTGATAACACCTATCAGTTGAACAAGTGTAAGGAAAGACAGGTAAATTACTTTCACAAAACGATGACCTGAGCGCTCGCACGTCATTAGGACACTGTCGATGCTGTGACTAATTACAAACAGTAAGTAGACATTTCGGTAAACATTTAAAATGAATTTTGGTGATTATATCTGCACTGGTTTTGGAGTTATCCATCAATTAATGGGGTGTGGTCAGTGTTAACTCGCCGTCAAGGAAAATAAGTTGCTGAACTTTATACGAAAAAAAAATAAATGAATAAATGAAAAATAAATATAATATAATAAATGAAAATGAAAATGCAGCTTGTTATAAAAACGCTGAGCCATAGATAGGACAGGTGGGCACCAGCCATGGGAGGGACACCCCCTACCTGTGGGGGTTTAGGGGTGCCCTCCCCCCTCCTCAAAATAATGAAAATTTTAATCAAAATCGGGTGAATTGTTGCTGCATTTTAATCCAGAAATTAATAGTGATCAATTGCTATTTTTCAGCCTCACCTAATTTTTTTCCTTAAGGTTATTTTTTTCAAATTTTACATGTTTTTAACAAATGGAAGTTTCTGTGCTTTTCCTGGGAATTTTCAGTCAGCAGTTCTTATACATGTCTGGCAGTTCACCTTAAATTGCATGATTAACAGAATATTTCAGGGTACTGTCAGGGCTAGCCAAGAACTCCTAATTTACTGCCTTACATACAATTTCTTAGATAATATATAAACTTCGATGCTCATTGACTTAATTCCTTAGCATTTACACAAATACAATACAAAATGTTATTTAAGTAATTGATATTTTGTCATTTATTTATTTATTATTAATATTATTTTGTTTTGTTTTAGGTGAACATTGTAAGGCATCATAATAGAAAGAAAGGGGAGCGGATAGGGAAAGAAATTTCTTTTATTGGCAACCATTGCTTGCTTTGGAAAACATGAAAATAAAGTCCAGGAATAAAGACCAGAAGAAACTTTCAGATACTGGTGAGATACACTCTCCTCAGACATGGCTGGCAGAAAAGTAGCATGTAAGGAGAGTCTTGATTTTTTACGTAGACTTGACTTGTCTCCACAGTCTGAGACACCAGACATAGTGCTGAAATGGACTGACCTTCATTTTAGCCATGCTGATATAGACAACCTTCCTGAGTCCATTGACAGGTGTGCCAATGTTAGTGTAATATATGCACAAAATAACAGGCTATCTTCTTTACCACAGTCCATATCCAGCCTGACTTTCCTCACCATGTTGGACCTTTACGCCAATGCTTTCACTACATTCCCCAAAGTACTGTGTGGCATGACTAAGCTAGAAATCCTGAACTTGCATGACAATCAGTTGTCTGACTTACCAGTGGAGATCAGCGGTATGACTGGGCTCAAAATATTCGATCTCAGTGGGAATCCCTTCACCACATTCCCAGCAGCGTTGCTGAACATGGCTAACCTAGAGCATCTGGAATTAACGGACAGTAAGCTATCTGACATACCAGTTGATATCACTAGAATGACTGGCCTCAGACTGTTCTGGCTTCATTGTAATCGTTTCACTGCATTCCCCACAGCAGTGTGTGGCATGGCCAACCTAGAGCAGCTGTACCTTAATACCAACCAGATACCTGACATACCAGCGGAGATCAGTGGTATGACAGGGCTTAAAAGATTTAGTATCATTGCCAATCGCATCGCTACAATCCCTGTAGCATTGTGTAGCTTGGCCAACCTGGCAGAGCTGTATCTGGATCGCAACCAGCTATCTGCCATACCAGTAGAGATCAGTGGTATGACGGGGCTTAGAATATTGGATCTCAGTTGGAATTGTTTCACAACATTTCCCAAAGCACTTTGTAGCATGACTTACCTAAAGGAGCTGGACTTGGGTAACAACCAGATATCTGATATACCAGCAGATATCATTTCAATGACTGGGCTGGAATCGCTGGATCTGGAGTCCAATAACATTACTCAACTGCCACCTCAGATAGGGAATATGAAAAGCTTGGTGGAATTAAATGTGAGGGGGAACCCCCTGGTACAACCACCAGAGCATATTGCTGTCAGAGGTCTTGATGCAATCAAAAGGTATTTTGAAGCATTAACTACTACCGAGGCAATCCTGTCAAACAGAATACAGGTCAACTTGCTTGGAGAAACAGAAGTAGGAAAAACCAGTCTCTCTCGCACATTGCAGAGAGGAAAGTCAACACTCACAACATCAGCAGACAGGACAAGAGTGGTAGAACAAGGGACATGGGAGACTGACCAAAACATTGCCTTCAATATCAATGACTTTGGCGGACATGATGTCTACAAAATTGGCCATCCCATTTTCATTTCCAAACGCGGCTTGGTCCTAATCACATTTGACCTAGCAGAGTATGATCCAGAAAATAAAGCACATTATCAGCTCTACATTGGAAACTGGATTGACAGAGTACAAGAAAAATTGCCAGGTATAAAGATGGCAGTAGTGGGAACTCATATTGATCAAGATGAAGCCTACAGTGCAAAGTGTTCTAAAATTAAGAAACAGTTTGAAGACCACAGGCAGAGAAAACAGAAATGGTATGAGTCTCAAATAAAGAGCATTGAGAAGAAAATTCTGAACACAGATGAAACCCAAACATCTATCCTTCAAGCCTATCAAGATAAGAAGTGGAAACTGATGTCGTCACAAGGCCAAGTAATAGACATCCATGAAGACATTTTTGGGGTGAGTTCCAAGACCATGGAGGGAATTGAAGGTTTACAAAGTTTTCTTACTACTGTTGCAAAAGAGCGTGCTGTAATTTTACCAGAAATGTGGGTTGATGCTGCCACCATGGTTTGCACCAAGAAATATGAAGGCTCTGAAAATACACTTGGCTGGGACAAGTTACAAGACCTTATTCTGCAGTCTGCTCCAACACCCTGGAAAAAGAGAAATTATTCCAATGAAGGTCTTGATTTGGCAACATGCGACATTTTAAGTTTTCTTGCTGACCGTGGTGACATCATTTGGTTTGATTCAAGCCCTACTCTGAAGAAAGTTGTGTTTCACAGGCAAGAGGTTCTTGCAAATGTTCTCAAAGCAGTGCTGAATCACGATAGTGATGCTGTCCGGGCCAAACTACAACAGTCCATGAGTATTTCAGAACCTAAAGCAAAGAAAATCCATGATGATATCTTCAGCAGAGGCATCATTTCCAGAGAAGCAATGGACTGCTTATGTGAGCCTTTCAGATTATCAACCACTGAAGCTGATGTCATGGTAGAACTGATGCAGAAAATGGAGTTGTGCTATCAAGTTCAGGAGGATCCATTGGTTCCATCCAGCATCTCATTCCACTTTCCATGGCTTCTTACGCTGGAGAGACAGCCTGAGTTGGATGAAAAATGGCCCAGAAAAGTTCCCACAGGCACCACACAACTGACTTTGCAGAACTATTTTCCATACAGATGTCCAGAAGGCATATACGAAAAATTGTCTGTTCGTCAGCACAAGTACCTTGGACTTTTGAAGACCAAACGTATTGATTGGAAGGATGGGGTGTATGCAGAACTTCAAGAATGTCAAACTCATTTCTCCCGACAGGAAAGACATCACCATCCTGCTAGCAGCACCTTGGACTGGATCATCACTATAGCTATACGTGGAGCAGACCTCTCAAAGATGTGGTCCGTTTTTGCTTGTGCTTATGCTGACCTCATGGACATCATCAAAGAAGAGTGCCCTGGGGTGTACTTTGACAAATACTTGGTGTGCCCCCACTGTACAAGTGAAAACTGTGAGGATCCCACACTCTTCCCTGGAGAGATACTGGACCAGACCTATCTGTCTGGGGGCGTCTCCAAACCAAAACAGGTGCCATGTGTCAATACTGGTGTCTACATTCCTACAGACCTGGTCTACCCACCACACCTGACCATGAGCTGGCAGGAAGGTAAGAGCTTCAGTAAATTTTATTTTAAGATATTTTCGATTTTGTTTCTTAATTAAAAAGGGTAAAATAACGATATGTTTCTTGATTATTTGCCAAGTCTGATAATTTAATCAAACTAGGTTGAGCATCTGACATACACCGTCACATACAGTAAGTAGGACCTCCAGCAACAATATTGTAACATTGTATCTCCTTGTATCAAACCTGGGCATTTATTACATTGTATCTATTTCAGTTATCAAGAAGAACAAAAATAACCTGAAGCAAAACATCACTGAACCTTGTCTCTTTGAGTTGATTGATGTCTTTATCCAAGAAAGCATCCTGTCAGACCGTGAATCTGAGTGGATTAAGACATCTCCTGATAAAACTGCTGTCTTCTTGGACTTTCTGACCATGAAATCTGACAAGGCATTTGATATTCTCTGTCAGTTTTTTGTTGAGCATGAGCGGTATGATCTTCTCAAGCTGATCAAGTACTAATCACATCAAAGGACCGTACTATGCTATGTGATAAACTTAAAAAAAGAAAAGCAAACAACACAGTTTCCAATACCTAAGTGACTTTTCAGACATGTGGAAAATGTTAACTTACAAGAGCTGTGCACATTGCCAAGAATAAAGACACTGCAATGGTCAGTCAAAGGCAAATGTTCAGATATGAAGAATTGATGACAATTTCAAGATTATACTCATTGCCCAAATGTTATATTACTCAGCCTCAGCTAAAACATTGTTTCATTGATGACATTGCTATCTACTGAATAGATGATAAGAAATATTGGCAAGTTATGAACAAATTAGGGGACAGACACAACTAAATTGTTTTTAAATAAAAGCACAAATAACAATCTGGATATTTACTGTGTTATTAGACATGTTGCAGAAATCTGTGATACATTTAGGGATGTTCTAAGTGTCTGCTTTATACATTTTATGATTTTGAGGTGTTTTCATAGCATTTTATTTGTAGTTTAGGGATTTTTTTCCTTTATGGAAGATTGACTTTTTTTTTAATAAGACGTTTAGAGATGAGAGCACAAGTATCAGATGATTATTACATATCTCATAGATAAAGAAACTCGCTATAAATATTAATATTTTAATTTGTGTTATTGTGCCATCTAAATGGGAACTTTCAAAAAAGGACAAAACCCGCTTAATCTCCGTTTTCAATGGGTGCCATATAAACTTCACTGTCACCAGGGTTGATAGAACTTTGCATGGTATTTGTGTAGATTTATCTGCTGATATGGTAATTTCCAAAGACATCAGATATTTTTAAACTATGTACAATAAGTAGTGGAGGCTCTTCTGCACCTGCTAGGTTTCATAGTTTACTGGGAGCTATTAAGCAGAGTTTATTTATAAATTTGTAAATTTATAAATTTATTTATTTCACATTTATTTATTAAGAAACTGTATGAGCTAAGGTAAATATTTTAACCAAATATTGATGGATAATGCACCCTCATTACTTTTTTACTTACACTGAAGATTTTCCCATTAGATTGCGTAGTTTTTTTTTAATTATTGAAAAATAATTGAATGTTTCAGAACTTTTTTGGTCAATTGTATATAGAACAGATATAAAACAAAGTATTTAGTGAATATTATCTCCAGTATAGCTTGTCTGTGTCAATAACCAGCTAACAAACAGATGTGTACAAACTGTACCATTCTATACTTCTCCATGATGTTGTATAGACCACAGACAGAAAGGACAGGATAATGTGATAATATCCACTTATTTTGATATTATACTCATAATTGTATAGAATATAGTTATAGATGAGTGGTACTCTTCTCAACTTCCCCAAATAGGATTACTTTGTGTTGGGATTTGGTGTGTGTGTGGGTGCATGCACCTTTTGAATTGTTTTAAAATATCAATAACGATGGCAGTAAAAAGCATGTTTCTTCTTTAAGAAGATGTAACTTGATTTGTTCTTGTCCCCTTCTTCTCCTTCTACTATTCCATTAAATAATCTATTTCATTCTTCCTTTTTTTTAAAATTGTAAGCCTTATAGTAAATATGTTGTATGAAATATTTTATATAAATAAAGAAAATAAAATTAAATGCTTATAAAATGTGTTATTCATAAAGAAAGACCATAACAAAAGAAGGACTTCTATAAATTTGAATTTTTTCCGTTTCTTCAAAAAACTTTAAGTGATATTTCAAATCATTTACATCCTTCCCTCAATAAACATTCTTCTCATGGATGCTACTGCACTTCAGCAATGAAATTGTGGTAGAGAAGAAAATTACAATGGCATCTTTTCTTACAAAAGGAAAACATTAATTCTTCAATGATGTGGACTTAAATATAAAAATGGGAACATTTGTTCAGAAGAGTTGCCAAAGTCATGCTTTAATTTGTTTTTTCAACATCAGATTAAAACACTTGTGGATTTTTAATGACAAATGGAGGAAACAAAGCTTTTGAATGTACTGATTCAGTCACATAATTTTGACCTTGGGTGTGCCTGTGGAAGCCATTTTTTCCTACCTGCAAAGAATGTACCAGTGCCTAGCAACAGTCACAACAAACTTTATGCTGTGGGGATAAACACCTCAACTTACGTTACTTCTTGGAAAATTAACCAGCCCAGGTAAGTTAAAAAGCAGAAGCATACGTACCTGTATAATATAGTTTTGAAGGAACATTTTTTTATATAAGAATTGTGATTTGTGAAAAAAAATTCAACAATTTAGGACTTACATACTAATGCAAGGTAAACAGGAAGGTCAAACAGTTTTTTTTGACATTTTTTTACCTGAACTGCTGCTTTAATAAGTATCTATAATTTTATAAGTGTTTTTATGAAGCTTCTTTAAATAACAGGGAAGGTTTTGAGGTTTCTTGTTGTTACACAAATGTGCCGAAATATCACATTAAGAAAAAAAAAACAAGGCCTAAAGGGTTCCTACTACCCCTGCCAACTTATATTTAAATAGAAATACTAAATGCACATTGATAATAGGTAACTTTGTTATTATTTTTTTGTCTCTTTTACCAACTATGTACACTGTCTGAGTATATTGTTTGAAATATGACAGTGAGACGGGAATGGTAGTCTTAGGGATGGAAGACCAGGCACCAAATGATGCCTGATACAGACTAATGGTGTAGGGTTATAGCCCAGTGTAATGAGGTCTGAGTACTGGTAAATGCACTATATTTTCTAGCTAGCAGACTACCATTCCTGCTACACTTGTAAGCAGTGACTTTAGTCAGTTTATTGAATATGTAAACAAGTTCATCCCCCTCAACACCTGGACAGGAGAAAAAAAAAGTTAACATGACTGTCATAAATCTCATATTGTTTTCCTCGTGAATAGCTACATGGTGTACTTTCACTGCCACTCGACATCTTTTCCAGAAAAATTAAGCCTACCAGTTAGTTTTCAAATCCAAATCAAGTTCCAGTGAAGAAACATTAGGGGAGGAGAAATCAGAGTCCACATTACCTGAAGTTTTATCACTGTTCACAGCAAAAAGAGTTTCTGGTAAGTTTATCAGTGACTTTCATACTTTAATTTACACAAACAGCTGCATGGATTAGACAGGAGCCTTTTTCACCATATCTACAGGTAGCAAGGCCAAGAATTTTTTAAAAGAAGTACATGTAACTGTTAAGGATTTGATCAATAACTCTCCTCCAGGAATGGAGTTTTGGATCAATGATTTGTAAAAAAGGTAAAAAAGGAAAATAACACTATAGTACATAGTAGATATGGCGTGATAGAGCTCAAATACGGTATATAATCAGTGATATTCAGTTTTAAAATGGTGATATTTACTTGTGTGCCACAAAATGCAGCACTGAAGGCTCTGATATATATATATATATTATCACAAATTATAGGGAGGGCAGTTTATCTGTATGAGTATGTGCACTGTACCAGTACATATATTGTATGTTTGGAAAAAGACAGTGTGACAGGAATGAGGTCCAAGTACGGCTATATATATCCTGTTTTCTAGCTTGCAGACCACCATTCCTACTATACTTGTAATTAATGACTGTAATCAGTTAAAATATAAACAATTTCATCGAAGTTGTAAGGAGTAAGATTCATCACTCCTGTGATCTTTTCGATGGGGAAAAAAATAATTGTCCTCAGGAAAAATCCAATTTCATCAATTACAAACAGGTAGGTCAAATAGTTGTTTCTGCCAATTTTTTTACCTGAACTGTTGTTTTATCATGTTATGCTATCTATAATTATTTAGTTCTTCTATGAGGTCATTTTATATAACAGGGTATAGATAGGTAATTTGGGCTTTCTCTACGTTACTAGACTTTTAGATGCCCAAATAGTTGGTCTCTCATTTTTTGTATGACACTTTTGTTATTGCACAGTACTTAGTCATGCATGGAATGCAATTTTAAAGAACTTTCATTATTATTTTTTTTTACTTTTATTATTATTACGACTGAAACTTACTCACATGATACTTGTTTACCACAGGTGTTTTTGTGAAAGTGGACACCATTTTCCCACCTGCGAAAAAGACAATAGAGGGGATCTAGTGACATACACATCCAACAACATGTAGCAGGGCTTTACACACTAAATTTTGCCATGTTCAACAAAGTCTAGGTAATGTACAATTTAAAATAATGCTATGAATTTTTGTATTCACTTTGCAAGGATATTTTAAAGAGTTAATTAAGTGGTCATATAAAATTGAAAAGCATATATATGTTTAAGAATTTTGAGTAGCAGTTCATTTTCTATTTTACTGCAAGGTACTAGTAAATTATGTGCCTTTTTTCTTTCTTTCTTTCCTTTTTTTTTTTTTTTTTTTTTGATGGAAAACTGAAGAAGACCATTTTAAAATTATTTACTTCTGCAGAAATTTAGAAACTTGAACAGATGTTTTCTTTTTCCTTACATTTTTGGTATTTACTAGTTGTAATTTACTTCAAACCAACTTGACCAGTGAACAAGATACTTTTCATACTAGTAGTATTTATACAAACTGTTAATTATGAAATAAAAAATTACTCTTAATTTATGTTATTTTTTCATTATAGGTGAATAATTTGAGACGTCATCATAGAAAAGAAAGGACAGAAAAGAGCATTTTGTTAACTACTACTATCTTTGGAAGAGAGGTCATGAAAGTAGAAAAGAAAATAAATTTCATATAATTATATAACTATGGTAAGAAATTGAAACATGCAACTAAAGTCACTGAAATCTCCCCTGGCAATCTAATGGTAACATAGACATCAACCCTCCTCAGACATGACTGGCAGAGTAGTAGCAGGAAGGGGGGGTTTTGATCTCTTACGTAGACTTGAGTTGTCTCCACAGTCCGACACACCAGACATTGTGAAAGAATGGACTGACCTTCTTCTTGATATGGCTGTTATGCCTGGAGACAACCTACCCGAGTCTATTGGCAGGTGTGCTAATGTTCGTTTTCTATTTGCTCCTCATAACAAGTTATCTTCTTTACCTCAGTCCATATCCAACCTGTCACTCCTCACTTACTTGGACCTATCAAACAATGCTTTTACTACATTTCCCATAGCATTGTATGGCTTGGCTAAGCTACAAGACCTAAACCTGAGCAGCAACCATCTATCTGACTTACCAGAGAAGATCAGTGGTATGACGGGCCTTCAAACATTTGATATTAGTTTTAATAATTTCAATACATTTCCCACAGCACTGTTTAATATGACTAACCTGGAGACAATGTTATTAAAAGGCAGCAAGCTGTCTGACATACCAGTTGAAATCAAACATATGACAGGGCTTAGAAGGTTCTGGCTTGATAGCAATTGCTTTTCTGTATTCCCCACAGCACTGTGTGGCATGGCTAAACTTAAGTTGCTGGACCTAAGGAAGAACCAGATATCTGACATACAAGTGGACATCAGTGAGTTGACAGAGCTTGAAAAATTGTTTCTCCATCAGAATGCTTTCATTACATTCCCCACAGCACTGTGTAGCATGACTAAGCTAAAGGAGCTGGACTTGCAAGACAACCAGATATCTGATATACCAGCAGATATCATTTCAATGATTGGAATGGAATCACTGGATCTTAGGTCCAATAAAATCACTCACCTGCCACCTCAGATAGGGAATATGAAAAGCTTGGTGGAATTAAATGTGAAAGGGAATCCCCTGGAACAACCACCACAGCATATTGCTGACAGAGGGCTTGATGCAATCAAAAGGTATTTTGAAGCATTAACTACCACTAAGGCAATCCAGTCAAGTAGAATACAGGTCAACTTGCTTGGGGAAACAGAAGCAGGGAAAACTAGTCTCTCTCGCACACTGCAGAGAGGAAGGTCAACACTCACAGAGTCAGCAGACAGGACAAGAGTGGTAGAACAAGGGACATGGGAGACTGACCAAGATATTGCCTTCAATATCAATGACTTTGGGGGACATGATGTCTACAAAATTGGTCATCCTATTTTCATTTCCAAACGCGGCTTGGTCCTAATCACATTTGACCTATCAGAGTATGATCCACAAAATAAAGCACATTATCAGCTCTACATTGGAAACTGGATTGACAAGGTACAAGCACAGTTGGCAGGTATAAAGATGGCAGTAGTGGGAACTCATTTAGATCAAGATAAAGCCTCCATTGCAAAATGTTCTATAATAAAAAGCAAACTGGAAGGTCACAGGCAGAAGAAACAAAAATGGTATGAGTCTCAAATAAAGAGCATCAAGAAGAAAATTCTGGACACAGATGAGACCCAAACATCTATCCTTCAAGCCTATAAGGATAAGAAGAGTAAACTGATGGCCTTACAAGAACAAGTCACTGACATCCATGATGACATTTTTAGGGTGAGTTCCAAGACCATGGAGGGAATTGAAGGTTTACAAAGTTTTCTTACTATTGTTGCAAAAGAGCGTGCTGTAATTTTACCAGAAATGTGGGTTGCTGCTGCCACCATGGTTTGTGCCGAGATATATGAAGGATCTGAAAATACACTTGGCTGGGACAAGTTAAAAGACCTTATTCTGCAGTCTGCTCCAACACTCTGGAAAGAGAGAAATTCTTCCTATGAAGACCTCAATTTAGCAACATGTGACATTTTAAGTTTTCTTGCTCATCGTGGTGACATCATTTGGTTTGATTCAAGCCCTACTCTGAAGAAATTAGTGTTTCACAAGCAAGAAGTTCTAGCAAATGTTCTCAAAGCAGTGCTCAATCATGATAGTGATGTCGTTCAGTCCAAACTCCAACAGTCCATGAGTATATCAGAACCTAAAGCAAAGAAAATCTGTGATGACATCTTCAGCAGTGGCATCATTTCCAGAAAAGCAATGGACTGCTTATGTGAGCCTTTCAAATTATCAAGCACTGAAGCTGATGTTATGGTAGAACTGATGCAAAAACTGGAGCTATGCTATCAAGTCCAGGAGGATCCACTGGTCCCATCCAGCATCTTATTCCACTTTCCATGGCTTCTTACTCAGGACAGACAGCTTGAGTTGGATGAAAAATGGCCCAGCAAGGTTTCTTCAGACACCACACAACTAGCGCTGGGGATCCATTTTCCATTCCAGTGTCCAGAGGGCATATATGAAAAACTATCTGTTCGTCTGCACAAATACCTTGCACGTACGAAGACCGAGCACATAGACTGGAAGGATGGAGTGTATGCACAGCTTCAAAGTTGCAAAATGCAGCTGTCTCGAGAGGAGAGACATCATCAGCTTGAAATGGCCAACAGTACCACAGATTGGGTCATCACTATAGCCATCAGAGGATCAGATCTTTTAAAGATGTGGGGTGTTCTTTCTCGTGTCCATGATGACCTCATGACCATTATTGAAGAGGACTGGCCTGGGGTGTCTTATGACAAATACCTGGTGTGTCCACATTGTACAAATGAAGACCGTGAGGAGCCAACCCTCTTTGAGGTAGAAATACTTGCAGGCGTCGACAGACCAACAAATGTGCTATGCAAAAACACTGGTAGATACATTTCTGCAGACCTGGTCTACCCACCACACTGGAAGCAAGGTATGAGAACAAAATTCTGAAATATAATTGCAAAGTCTTTGCCAAATTAGTTAATTGTGCATTGTCACAGAGTCAGGAGTTGCTGTTTGATGTGTCAGTAAAAATCTTCAGCAGGAATGGTGTAGTATGTAACATTGTATGAAATCCTTAAGCCCTGTCTTAATTAACAGACATCCTAAGGGGTCCAGCCCAGTATTGTGTTATTTTGATAAAGTGGGTTTTAACTGGGACTTGAGCCAATCATCCCCACACATTAAGTTTGTAGTAAAACTCTGAACTTATTTTGTTGTCTTAACTTTCAGTTGTCAACAAGAAAAAAGACAGGCTGAAGCAAAACATCACAGAACCTGATCTCCTTCACTTGAACGATCTCTTTTACCAAGAAGGCATCTTTTCTGAATATGAATATGATTGGATAAAGGAATCTCCTGAAAAAACTGCTATCTTGGATTTCCTGACCACGAAATCTGACTACAAGGCATTTGATATTCTCTGTCAGTTTTTTGTTGAGCTTGAGCGGTTTGATCTACTTGAGTTAATCAAGTACTAAGGACTGTCTAAGGACACCATGCTATGTGATAATTAAAACTAAAAAAAAAGAAAAGGAAAATGAAGAACACAGTTCCCAATGCCTGAATGACTTTTCAGACTGAATGTGATAAATATTAACTTAGAAGAGGTGTGATTATACATAGAGACACTGCAATGTTCAAATATGGACAAATATTGAGATATGAAGAACTGATGACAATTGAAAGGCTGGGTACTCTCTCTTTCTCTCAATATCATATTACTAAACCTCATCCAGAACATTCTGTTTCAGCAAAGACTGAACAAAGGAAAAGAAGAAAGATGGGCAAAGCATGGACAAATAAGCAGACAAACCAAACTAATTGAAATTTATACTCATGTACCAAATTCAAAATACTCATAGATTATAACTGACCAATTTCATATATTGTCTGACATGTTGAAGAAAGATGTGATACACTGTATATGCTGATAGGGTGGTTCTATAGTCTCTACAATATATATGTTTGTTTTAACTTTTAAAAGAGTGAAATGTTGATTCAGAAGTGTTTTTAATTAATGCATTTTATGTAAAAGGGGATTTATTTCTTTATGGGATTGTTGCTCCATATTTCATAACCTATGGTTAGAGAAGGCAAAATAAGTATTAGATGTTTAATTCTGCAAAACAAAAAGAAAAATTGAATATTTTAGATTGTCAAAGTTGCAATTCAGTTAAACATTTCATCCAGGAGAACCTAAAAATGAAAACCTTCATACATGTTGAAAGGCAATACCTGTTTTCCATTTTAGGAGGTTACAATAAACTAGCTTGTTTATTATTAGGGTTGACAGAATCATTCATCTATTGAAATCATATCATATTCTGCTAAAAAACAGACCAACACTTGGAAGAAAGGATCATTAAAAATGTGAAAATATATGTAAATATGTACAGTTAGTAATGGACCGTTCCACAGATAATGAAATGCATGTGCCAACTGAGTTATATGCGTATTGCATTCTAGTCTAGACTTGATATAGTTGCACTGCTATTTTCAGTCAGAAAATGCATCTGTGCAGCTTCCTGGTGCACAATCATCGGAAATGTACAATGTATATCATTATCTGTGAAAAGGTCCATGGAGTTTGTTCTACACTCAAAGTTATAAAGTTTACTAGAAGCTGACCTCTTCAACCACTAATTTTGTAATTATGATAATTGTAAATAATTTTACAGAGGCACATATATTTAAATTCTAACATGTCGTTGAATATTAATTGTTACCTAATTTAGACTGGGTTCCCATACCTAGATCGATCTAACAGGATTGGTCCATCTCCAAGGGGTTTCAGCTTAAGCCGTGTAGATATACATGTATTGCATGCCTACTAAAGCTTCTATATGATAGTTAATTACTCCCTATCAGCTTCTGTAGGCATGGCAGACATCTAAGATGCTTAAGTTGATTGCAATTTAGAGAGAATCCCCTAGGAGATACCGGTAGTTTGATCCAAAGTTAGTACAATATGGTCTGGGAAGGCTCCAATATTCTTCATGCATTTCCACCACATGAGCGAAATGTATTATAACAAGTTGACAATATTTAGCTTATTGGCTAAATGATTTCATATGTTAGCACTGGAGCATCCATTTCATGTCATCTAACTGATAATATGTGGCAATAGCCACTAATTTTGCAAAAATGATCATTGTAATGAATTTAATATATAGAGGTGACTTAGTTCTTACACACTGAGCTTTGTTACAATTTATCGTTAATTAATGCATTCTACCACTTGAGTCAACAAGTTTATTTTTCTTGACTAAATGATTCCATGCTACATCTAGCTAGAGCATCCTTTTGTTGCCATTGAATACATTAAGAAAGTTATGTAACCATTAGATCTACTCAGCATTTAAAAATCATTCCAGGTTAGAGAAGAAATTCTGAATCCAAGTAAAGATTCCTGAGTGAGAGAAAAATGAGTTTTTCTAGAGGAAAATTTGTTTTGGTGTGAAAATCCTAGATACATAACCTTTGAGGAAGTTATGGTAATGAACAGCTCAAGCTACTTTTAGCATTAAGCATACAAGTATGCAAGAACTTTTTAACAAAAGAGATGGGTTTTATCAATGTTACTTATCACAAAATTGATGTACTTCAGTTAATATATATATATATATATATATATATATATATATATATATATATATATATATATAATTTTATTATTTTTTTAAAGACAATTTTCTTCATTATTCACTTTTTTCTCCTAGTTAAATATATTAGGTGAAAAGTGTTTATTTGGAGGGCAAAGCAAGGTTACCTTTAATTGATCCATGTATAAATTTAATTATAATAATTTACAATTTAGGAGTACTTTGTCCATAAGTTCCATCTTACCAAGAATTCTGTCACTGTGTATATTCTGACATTTTAGATTCACTGGATTTTTATTCTTTTTCTTCATAACTGATTAAATACTTGATTTTAGCACTGTTACTTACCAAAAAAAAGGTGTGTAGCAGTCATACATACTCAATAAATATTATATAAATTTAAAAAATGATCATCAGTGCTTTTTCATTATTCTCCTGAAAAAAATAAAATAACAAAGAAAACTTAAATGAAATGAACCATTCCTGTACCTTTTAAATATCTTCATCTCCTTCAAGTTCAACTGGTTCTGACAAAGACAATAGCTCACAAATAAGGTAGTTTAAAAGCAGCAGAAATGATCTTTTCTGGCATCCACTGGTCAAATCAGTAGCAAATTTTATTTGAAATATTTTAATATTTTAAAACTTGAATAAGTCAACTTGTTTTTGTGCTTGATTTAGCTTAAAGTAAATTTAAAATTACAGAGTGCATTCTGGACAGCAGACTAATAGATCTGCAGAAAAAATATAGTAGTGACCTTCAAAAAGCTTGCGGCTTAATTTCCAATTAGACTCTGAATAGATCCCCCGGGGGAATTATGCAGATGTCTATACTCTGGTTTCGGTGGAGGTCAGCTACAAAGAGCAAAGGGACAAGTTGCCACTGTTTATTAATCATGGAGATTTCAAGTGTTATACACATTTAACGAAAAAAAATCCTATCATTTTTTTTTCTCGGAAAAAATGAAGGAATATATTGGGAGTGCCCGGAGATCAAGAGACGTTTAGTACAACATGTTAAGGAGGACACAGTTCCCATTTTTCATACAGCATGACCAGTTCCCTATGCATTAAGAAATGCAGCTGAAAAGGAACTAAACAGAATGCAGGAAGAGGGAATCATTTATCCAGTTGACTTCAGTGATTAGGCAACACCAGTTTGTGTCCCTAAAACTGATGGAGCTGTGAGATCGTGTGCACGTGAAGACTAGAAGGTATGGGTAAATATGACTATATGCACACGCTCACCTAGAAAAAGATGGAAATGATTTAATTTCTTTTTGTTCTTAATGCATACCCAAAGTGGCTATAGAGAGGCACAAGAGACTTTAGTAGGTTAAGAGTTTCAATACAAGTTGTCAATAACATTTATCCTCAAATAATGAGTTTGGAGTTTGTATTTAGGCACAGTGTTAAGGCGCATCGCACCAGAGTTACACAGTCAGTATTCAGGATAGGTGTGTATGGAAAGTCACATAGACCAGTTGCACTGCACTGAGCAGGGGGCTGATCCAGGATTATTTAAGGGGGGGGGGGGGATGGAAGTCCGGATAACAGGCCTTGGATGCAAAGCCGTCCATCACCAAGGACCCCCTGACCCCCCCCCCTTCTAAATCTGCCACTGACTGGGTATTCTGACACTCACTGTGAGGATGTTGAAAATGATTATAAGGGAGAGAAACAGCTTTCAGAGACTCAGTTCAGTTCAGTGATTCCTAATAGTTCAGAGATTATTCCTTATGCAAATGCTAGTGATCCAGGTATGGATTCTGACAAAAAGTTAACAATGACATCAACATCTGAGAAGTACATTATCTCGGGTGATTGTAGAAATAGGACAGTTTCATTATGCACAACTACTCATGAATGCAAAAAGTTTGAGAGACTGATTTAATTACTCCTGGATGTTTTCTTTTCTTCTTTCACTGATCTACTCGTGAATGCAAAAAGCCTGAGAGACTGAATGAAATAAAGTAAAATGAAATAATCTGTTCATTTTTATTGTTTGTAAAGAGCAATGCATAAATAGACTGTTTTAATTAATGGAGAGTTTCAATTTTGCATTGTTTAATGGTAATTTGCAAGTGGTATTTGAGTTTCAATTTATTCTGGTAGTTATGTACAAGTTATCAGGTTAACAGGTTTTTCTAGTTCTTAATAAATCTAAAGACAATTCTCTTCACATAGAAGTATTATTACATAGGAGATGCTAAGAACGAGAGCTGTCAGAGACTTGTGGAAGTGTTCAATGACTTGTTTTGGCTGCAGCAAAATATCAATTTTTAGAGACTTTCAGACATGTGACACATGGCTTATACAATGAAGTGTAATCTCGCGATATTTGAGATGTACTTCGTGATCTGCCATCAAATGATTAAGGCCATGGACGGTGTTGTGCAGTTTAAATACCCTGCTACACTTAGACTGATGAATGGACATGACACCAACTAAAGTAAGAAATGTAAGAAAACAAAAACCGCTAGCTTAATATCACATGGATGTTTATGTTTTATTTTTGTACTTTAGACTCAGTCATTTTACTTTCTCTTCATTGAGTCGATACTGTATGTTTCTAAAGATCATAGCAAAAGCGAAAGAAAAAAGCACTAATTGTACTTTACACAACAGCAGCAAAATCAATATTATTGCTGCCTTTTTGTAGGACAAGGCCTGTATGCCCCGCTAAGCCCAAAGCAAACTTATATCTACTTGTGTTTGTATAAAGAAGGGAAATATAAAACGTGTGCTTGCCATACAAAATGCTGCTTTCACTGACCTACACGGTAGCTAATTTTTTGGGGGTTTTCAGTGCTATACAAAGAAATTGTATAGTTGTATAGAAATAGTTTTCAAATCCGAATCAAGTCCCGGTGATCACAGCAATATCTTTTTAAAGGAGAAGAAGAAATAAGTTTCCAAGTTATCTGAGGTTTATCACAGGTAAGAAATCTATCAAGGGTGCTTATTTCAATGTTAATTATCAGGTTCACATACCCAAATGAACCAGAAAAAGGTCTGCTCTGGGTAAAATTTGATCTAGGTATGTTAAAGTTTCATGGTGAAAGGTACACTTTTGCAGCCGCAGTCCATTACCTGTTATATCCCATAGTCATACTGTCAGTCAGATTCCGTCTTGTTCTTCTTATAAGGTACCAATCACATGTTATGACTGCACTTCAGCTGAGGCAAAACAATGCATTTGGTTAACTTAGGTATATTGACTCAGTCACATGACGTTTATTTGCCATAGCTCTGTGTCTGTGGAAGCCATTTTTTCTACTGTCCCGCAAAAAAATGCAGCAGTGCTTCTGGTGCTTGGTAACAGTCACATCAAACTCCATGTTGTGGTGATAAACACTTCAATTTATATTACATTGTACTTCTGGAAAAGTTAACCTAGGTCTAGGTAGGTAGAAAAAGATAGTTAAGTGTCTGTATTAGTTTTGAAGGCACATCTTTTGTGACAAGATTTAAGAACAATTAAGGACTAATATACAACTACAAGATATACTGAGCTCTCTTACAAAAATTATCTTTAGGACCTCCTATAGGACTTTATGAGGCTATATAGGAATCCTATGTTCAAGATTTGGAATATAATAAGTAAAATACTATTTGTATTAAGTTTTGTCAATGTTTTGTAAGTAACAAACAATTTATAATTCTGGATATTTAAATGTCTCGATGAATGTGATATTTCATATTGTTATGATAATCTCTAACCTTCACACACACACACACACACACACACACGCTTCAGAAACTCATGGATGGCTACATGTATCAATCAAATTCAGTGCTTGTCTTCACAATATTATTGTCAGAAACAAAAAGTACAATGACATTTTGAAACAAAAGATGAACAGCACTACAAAAATGTGCATGAACATGTACTTCAATCAAATTGGAGCATTTACTCAGACAAGGTCTTATCACCATATTCTCCTTTGATTTCTTTTTTTAACAGTAGATCATAACAAATAACTACAGGAGCAACACAATTGCCTCTGAGGGAACATTAATTTAATCTCATGATATTTATTTACTATAGGTGTGCCTTTGGAAGCCACTTTTCCCACCTGCAAAGAATGTACCAATGTCTGGCCATGGACATGCATGATAATAAACACAGTTTAGTTTATTACTTGGGAAGTTCAGTAAAGTCTAGGTAAGAATGATGAGAATTAGTATATCATTTTAAAAAGACATTTTACTTATAATTAATTATTGACATACAAATCTGGACAGCATTTTATTAAAGATTTGTATCAGTTTTCTGTATGTGTCAAATGACATTCCGTTCAAAATTCTTCACTTCAGTTCCTGTTTTATATATCTTGTTTTATACCTTGTTTCATTCTTGCATTTTTAGCTTGATTCATAAGCTTGGTTGGTATTTCGAGATTTTTAGCATTTTCAATATGGCCACAAACTTGTGAGAAAATCTAAGGCCTCATTCAGAATAGGGGACTAACTAGTCCCAGGGTCAAATATGGCAATCAAATACAAAATTTGCAGTCTAATGCGCTAATAGACACTGAAAAGATATCCCATGTGGGAGTATTCAAGTGGGTCACCCATATTTGACCCTCGGACGAGCTAGTCCACTATTCTGAATGGGGCCTGAATCTTCCAATCAAAAATTTGTGGCCATGTTGAAAAATGTTTGATGTCTTGGCAATAGCAACCAAGCTATGTTTGATGTACTTCAAGAAGTAACCAGGTTAATTTTGCTTCTCTAGCCTAATACAGCACATTTCTTTAAAAACAATTTATAGAAAAGAACATTACGGGATTAGATTTCTACTGGGCCAATGGGAGTCATTATTCTCATTTTATTTTTTAGCCATTCAAGTGTAAATATTGGAGAAAATTGTCAATAAGTAGCAATCAGTAATAGTGGTAGTGTTCAAATGACTCCAAATCATCTTAATTATACTGAACAATGTAGCTTTAATAAAATTAGAATTATGTTATTAAAATATCACCATTATTTTTTCATTGCAGGTTAAAGGTGGACATACTCCAGTAGTGAAACATCATTATAGAAGAGAGAAAGCAAGAGATAAGAAAAGAAGATAATTTTGTTCATTACCATTGCTTGCTTTGGAAAAAAAAAAGGAAAATGTTATTTACATCAAGGAAATCCCTCTACTTTGCAATATAAAGGGAACATAGACCAAAAAGAAAACTTCCAAGTAGTTGTGCCATCAATGCTCCGGGGACATGACAGGGAGGGTAGTAGCAGGGAAGGAGAGTCTGCCCATCCTCCAGACATCTCCAGAGTCTGCAACACAAGACACTGTGAAAACATGGACAGAGCTTGATTTTAGCAATGCTAACATATTCAACCTACCCGAGTCCATTGACAGGTGCAGCAGTGTTTGGAGGATATCTGTTAAACAAGACAAGTTACGTTCTTTACCGCAGTCCATATCCAACCTGCCACACCTCACAGTATTGGACCTTAATGGCAATGCCTTCACTATATTCCCCAGAGTACTATGCGGCATGGCCAAACTACAGGAGCTTAACCTGTATGACAACAAGTTAAATGATATACCAGAGGGGATTCAGGGAATGACAGCACTTAAAATATTCAATCTCGGTCATAACTCCTTCACCAAATTCCCAACAGCACTGCTTGAGATGGCTAAACTGGACAAACTGATGTTACCTGAAAACAAGCTGTCTGACATACCGGTGGAGATCAGCAGAATGACAGAGCTTAGAGTGTTCTGGCTTCATAGCAATAGCTTTACTGCATTCCCCGCGGCACTATGTGGCATGACTTTCCTAGAAAAGCTGGTCCTTGTTAGCAACCAATTATCTGACCTACCAAAGGAGATCAGTAGTATGACAGGGCTTAAAATATTTGATATCTGTAGGAATCGCTTCGCTACATTCCCAAAAGCACTGTGTGGCATGACTAACCTAAAGTGGCTGTGCCTGAACCACAACCAGATATCTGACATACCAGCAGATATTTCTAGAATGCATGGACTTGAAACACTGCATCTGGACTCCAACAACATAACTCACCTGCCACCTGAGATGAAGGATATGAAAAAGTTTGGCAAAAATTGCAGTGGGCAGTAATCCTTTGATGCAACCACCAGAACGCGTCGTTGACAGAGGAATTGATGCAATCAAAAGGTATTTTGAAGCCTTAACTGACACCGAGGCAATTTTGTCCAGTAGAATACAGGTCAACTTGCTTGGAGAAACAGAAGCGGGAAAAACTAGTCTCTCTCTTACACTGCAAACAGGAAGGCCAACACTCACAGAGTCAGCAGACAGAACAAGAGTGGTGGAACAAAGAACATGGCAGTATGACCAAGATATTGGCTTCAATATCAATGACTTTGGTGGACATGGTGTCTACAAAATTGGTCATCCCATTTTCATTTCCAAACGGGGCTTAGCCCTCATCACATTTGCCCTATCAAAATATGATATAGAAAATAAGGCACATTATCAGCTCTACATTGGAAACTGGATTGACAAGGTACAAGCACAAATGCCAGGTATAAAGATGGCAATAGTGGGAACTCATATTGATCGTGATGAAACCTATAGTGAAAAATGTTCTATTATTAAAAAACAATTTGAAGACCACAGGCAGAGAAAACACAAATGGTATGAGTCTCAAATAAAGAGCATTGAGAAAATCCTGAACACAGATGGAATTCAAACATCTATGCTTCAAGCCTATGAAGACAAGAAGAGTAAACTGATGACCTCACAACACCAAGTCATTGACATCCATGATGACATTTTCGCAGTGAGTTCCAAGACCATGGAGGGAATTGAAGAACTACAAAACTACCTTACAACTGTTGCAAGAGAGCGTGTTGTTGTTTTACCAGAAATGTGGGTTGATGCTGCCAAGAATATTCGCATCAAGAAAAATGAAGGCTTTGACAATACACTAGACTGGGACAAGACACAAGACATCATTCTACAGTCTGCCTCAGTATCTTGGAGAGAGAAGAACACTTCCAAAGAAGACCTTGATTTGGCAACATGTGATATTTTAAGTTTTCTTGCTCATCGAGGTGACATCATTTGGTTTGATTCAAGCCCTACTCTGAAGAAAGTTGTGTTTCACAGGCAAGAGGTTCTTACAAATGTTCTCAAAGCAGTCCTCAATCACGATAGTGATGCTGTTAGGTTAAATCTCCAAGAGACCATGAGAATATCTGAACTTAAAGCAAAGAAAATCCACGATGACATTGTCAGCAGAGGCATCATTTCCAGAGAAGCAATGGACTGCTTATGTGAGCCTTTCAGCTTATCAAGCACTGAAGCTGATGTCATGGTAGAACTAATGCAAAAACTGGAGCTTTGCTATCAAGTCCAGGAGAACCCATTGGTTCCATCCAGCATCTCATTCCACTTTCCATGGCTTCTTACTCTGGAGAAACAGCCGGAGTTAGATGAAAAATGGCCTGGCAAAGTTCCCACAGGATCCATACAACTAACCCTGCAGATCAATTTTCCTTACAGATGTCCAGAAGGCATATATGAAAAATTATCTGTTCGTCAGCACAAGCACCTTGGACTTTGGAAGACCAAGCGAATTGACTGGCAGGATGGGGTGTATGCAGAATTTCAAGGAAGCCAAATGCAGATTTCTAGACAGGAAAGACATCAACAACATGATCCTGACATCAGTGCTACAGACAGTATCATCACAATAGCTGTACGTGGATCAAGACCCAAACTTTCAGAGATGTGGTCAGTTCTTTCTCGAGCCCATGGTGACCTCATGGATATCATCAAAGAGGACTGGCCTGGGGCATCCTATGACAAATTTTTGGTGTGTCCACACTGTGTCAATGAGAATCCAGCACTCTTTCCATCAGAGGCTCAAAATGAAGGCCCAGAGGAAGTGCCATCCACAGGAGGATTTGGGGAGATGGCACCGATGCTTTTTCCAGGAGAGATCCTAGATCTAACCCGCCTGCCTGATGGGGTCTCCAAGCCAAGACATGTGCCATGTGTCAATACTGGTGTCTCCATTCTTGCAGACTTGGTCTACCCACCACACCTGACAATGAGCTGGCAGGAAGGTAAGTCAGGTAGTACTGGTAAACCCCATGAAGGTCATGGGGAAGATACTATAGATTTTATATTTACCATATCTTTCTATATAATAAATAAACCATTGTTTTACATTTTCTATTATTTTCCAATCATTTCTTAATAACAAGAGAAAAATAACAAGAGGTGTCATTCTATCACAGATCCCCCCCCCCCCCCCCCCAACAAGTGTCTATGACCTTTGTCCTTCTGACTTCAAAATCATTAAGGGTTAACTACACATGATGGCAAACCTGCCTACATGTATGAGAACTGTGCATGTGTTGGCTATAAATCTACCTTTGATTACTAGTTAGACAAGTTTTTTTTTTTTTTTTGGTGATGCTGTTTAATGTGACCTTAACCTTGGACATACTGATTTCAAAATCACCAGGGGTCACCTATAGGTGATGACAACTTTGCTCAAAAGATGATTGTAAATCATACTGAAGGAGCAGCAATGGCATAGTAAAATTTTGTCGTCATACATTAGATTTTAATGTGTATTTTTTATTAGTTTGTGATACTGGGATCCACTACTTGTCATGTAGATCTGTGGATAAAACTTCAGTCCGTAAAGTTAAAACAATCTATATCACCTAGTATCAATGTTGTGCAGTAATTACATTTACTTTAATTTTTCAGGTGTCCACAATAACAGAGATAAACTGAAGCAATACATCACAGAACCTTGTCTCTTCGACATAATCAATGTCTTTATCCAAGAACGCATCTTTTCATACCGTGAGTCTGAAGAGATAAAGGAATCTCCTGAAAAAATTGCTGTCTTCTTGGACTTCCTGACCAAGACACCAGACAGGGCACATCAAATACTGTGCGAGTGGCTAGAGGAGCAAGGAAAAACTCATATTCTTGAGCTGATTCAGTAAGGCATATAAGGACACGTACAACATCATTGAGAAAACAAAATTTTCACAGAAATGAAGACCACTTTTCCCATAGCCTGAATGACATTTTGAACTCAGTGATTGTAAGACATTAACATACAACATCTTTCAGGAAGGACAAGCATGGACAGATCTGAACAATTGATAATTATATTAGAAAGACAAAACTTATTGCAATGATTCAAGTTTGAGAAAAATTCATTATGGCATAAAAATTCCAAATAGGAACATTTTAAAATAGCTGTGGGACTGTTTGACTTACTGAACATCATTGCATTTTGGCATGGCTTTTAACTCTACTATTTTCAAAGGAACTTAAAGTAGGTTTTGAGATAAAAATTAACCAAATTTTGATAATTGGCATAGAAAATTCAAACACATTTATTTTTGTTTCCCTATCCAGTATTTCATTTTTTTTACCCTTAGCTGATAAAAAGGAACATTATCAATGTGACTTAGCACAAAATTGCAATAATAAATATATTTCTTTATGTTATAATGACTGCCTTGTAAATGAAAACACTGTCCATCGTTATTAACTTTTTTTTAATATTATTATTGGTTATTCTCCAGTCAATTCACATTGATTAGAGTGTGTCTGGGAGACAAGGGAACCAATAAATCATTTACGCAATGTTATTTAATTCACATTTTTAAACAAACAGATCAAATGCCAAGTTTATTTTAGCACTGTTAATAACCAGTAAAAATTAAAATCAAATCATCATGGTTTATTAATTATTCCTCCAACCAAAATAAAAGAATCACTCACTAAATTTCATGATAACAATTTGCATCTTTTAAATATTCCCAGCCAGCAAGTATAGACCAGTTGACTCTGGCATAAATTGCCCTACAGTAAATCAGTAGAAATGGTCTTTCCTGATATAAAACAGTCAAAACAGTAAATAATTTACATTAAATATATTAAAATCATAAAATAATGATTCTCAATAATTACATCAACTTGGGTCATATATAAGATGACAAAACCGAGGCTTCTTGTTAAAATCCAGAAGTGTTTCAACATACATCAGTTTCAAATCAGTTCTCTTCTCTGTAACAAGTTTTTGGATGATGTCTGGATGACTGGTATCTACCTCTAACCAAACAGACCTGAAAATTAATATTAATTCATGTAGCTGAGGGCAAATAACAAAGTTAATGTTCAGTTTATGTGGTATATTCCATAGTACTATACATAGGCAAGGGAATTTAAAAGGCTACATAAATATGATCCAAGTGGTTTTCAACAATATTGAATGATTTAATGATGACCACTCACAACTTTTTAGTTTTAGCAATTTACAGTCAATAATTTAATGACCACATACTTAACTGCATCCCAGTGTTTTAATGTAATTACACCACAGGAGATTTTAGTCTCTTTTACAAGTTTGCTCCCAATCAAATTCAATCCTGTTAATTTGTCTATCTCCCAAAACATGGTTATAAAGATAAGTATAAAGCATGATGTGAGGGCCTAATATAGAACCAAGAATGTTATTTGTTCTGTAAACCATGTGACTACAAACCCTTTCTCCTTTAAGACAGAAGATGCAGAATTAAGGACAATTCTGATAACATCCATTCCATCTTCTCCTCCATCTAACGCTTTGGGGTCTTCATATCTGAAACACAAGACAGCAGAAATGAAATAACTGAAATTCAAATACAAAGAGAACGAAAAATGAAACTATTTATATTAATTTCCAAGCCTCAACTTTCTTTTTTTTTTTTGTGCCAGTGATTAGAAGCTCTAAGTTTACTGCTTGGTTCCTCAATATTCTATGTTTACTACAATCTTGTTTAATAAAATGTCAGTTTCTAAGAAAAATTAAAACGCACTGCACATAAAAATAATCACAAATATAAATTGGTAAATAGCTAATAGTAATGATAATAATTACCATATCAAGAAATATAATAATAATCACAAACTATTAAATCTGGAATATTAGTTAAATAAGAAAAAATGTCACAATAACAAAAGCAAACATGAATACATATCAGAAAAAAATGCAAAACTTTCCATAAAAATTTCCTATATCAAATGCCTGTAATGTTCTAGCTGTTATAAGAATATCATGTGCTGTTATAAGAATATCACGTCGCGACTTAACCGCGAGACATGGACGTCATGAGACGTCAGAGAAACGCAGAGCAGGGAAATAAAGAAAAGTGTGTATCACTAGTACTCTAAAATTTTGTGTTTTTTTATTTATTTTAAACAACGTTACAACACAACAATACCTTGCAACTTCCTCCTGTAAATTCTTCATATCTTTCCTAGGAACATAAGGTGGATTGCTTACAAGAACATCATATTTTTCACAGAAAAGTTTATGCTGGGATTCAAAGAGTTCATCAGTTAATTCCAGGTGATGCACCTGTAGTCTGTCTTCCAAGTGATTAATTCTGGCATTTAGTTTGGTCAGTTCACACGCTGCAATACTCTGGTCTATGGCAACTGCTTTGGCCTGAAAGAAAAATGCACAAATATTACTATATTCTCTTTGACACTAAATATTTTTAAAAGTTCTCTCCTCACAATGTGACCAAGGTAGTCTTGTCTTGATCACAGTACAAGTGCTGCAATCTGGTGACTAAACACACATATTAATGTGACTGAGAAAACTTATAATTCTGAATAAACTGAGTATGCAATATTGATTTTTCACAAATCAAAATAGTTTTTTTTTCTACAAACTATTTTAAGCATTTAAAATATTTCATGCTGAGATATTCTATGCTAGAGACAGCCTTGTATCTTTATTACGTATTACTTTTATTTCACCTCCTTAATTTTGTGTAAAATGGCCAGTGATATAGCACCACTACCACAACCAATCTCCAGTATGGAAGGTGATCTGTTCCCACTGCTTGCTAGATCCTTGCATACAAAGTTCACCAGGTGCTGATATGAAAATACAAAAATTTTAATTCCACACAAAAAAAAAAAAAACTCATAACACACCAGAAACTATCTTCAATATTATACTTTTCTCATGAGAAGTACAGAGCACTTTGAACTTGCCATAATTTCTTTTCTTACATAATTTTTTTTTACTTATAACCAAATAGCAGACCATATTATGACAGTAACCAAACATGTGTTATAAAGAATATATATGAATATTAATATTTCCACACGATCATCAAATTCAAGTCAACCCCAACTTGCTTACCTCCGTTTCTGGTCTTGGTATCAGAACTGGTGGCTCCATCTTCAGTACAAGTTCACAGAAATCCCATTCTCCTATCACGTACTGCACCGGTGCCTTCTCAAGGCGTTGTCGGCACATTCTGTCAATGTTTTCGAACTGTTCCTCCTTAACCAAAGTTGATTCCTTGTCCAAATTCCATAAAGTTTTCTTCCCTAATGCATGGGCTATGATGTAATTTGTTGACGCTTCTGGTTCACTTATTCCACAATCAGTGAATTTAGAGTTCCAAAACGAAAACAGTGTATTTACTTTCATTCCTGGTGTGTATTGAATATTGCCACTGGCTTTATTAGGAGCATCAAGTGTGCAATTATTTCTTTTTATTGTCAAAGAATGTGTCAATTCCTTTTTCTTAAATGGGTAAAACATTGGGCATTGTTTTTTATATGGTGATACATAACTTGCTGGCCAAATTGTACTTGCAGCATACAAACCACAGGCTGAATGCAGGTGTAGACATCTTGTGGCAAGAATCATTTTTTTTTTTCACTTTTATCGTTCCTAGGGCTCACTTTCTTTTATAAATTCCTCCTACCATCTCCATGACCTGAAATAAGTTTTTGGTGAAAATGGTGACTATAAACAAAAAAGACCAATAAATCATATCTATAGAATATAATACAGCCCAGGCATAACAGAGATAATCTCCTTACATATCCATCTCGGTACTTTTGCTCTCTCTCTCTCTCTGATGAGCCATAGCCCTCCAGCTGGAGTTTGTGAGAAAAGGTTAACATGATAGAAAGAGGTACAGGGTGATATAAAGAATAAAATTAAGTGTGCATTACGTTTAATATACCTCATGTAACGTATATCTCATATGCATAGCTTACCTTCTACAAATTAATCATTACCTTTAACTTGCATCCTTGGAACACAAAAAGTAGGTAGTAGTAGTTTTCAAAACAAGACTAATTTCACGTGTGGCGCATGCGCATTTCATACTTCCGTCAATCCGCCGGTGGAATGAAAACAAGTGTCCTCCAAATTCTTGAGAGGATGCAGACTCGCTTTAGGAGAAACCGGCAATCCAGGTCAGAAAATGGCGGAAACGGCAAATCAGGACACAGGCAAATCAGGACAGTTGTTAATAGATGGCGCAGCAGTAGAACATCAACAATACAAGAATTTGCACGAGGGATTTTGCTTTTAATTAAATAATAGGTGAACCTTTTCTAGAAATTGATTCACTTTAGCATTAAGTATCTTAATTTGATATACATCCAATTAATATGCCAATTTAATTTCAGTTAAGTAGCTTTGTGACTTTTTTAAAAGCAACAGTACGTGGCATATGGGTAGGCCCTACTAGTATACCCTCTACCAGGGCGACAGATTGATTTTCCACAGATATCCACAGATACACTGTATGTCTATAGATAAATAGAGAGTCATTTTGGCTCTCAGCAAAAAATGCCTAAAATGATAACTGCAGCCCTGGTAGAGGGTAGCATACTTGTATGAGTAGGCCTATGTACGGTACGTCTTATTAAGTTCACGTCCTTCACACAATCAAATAGTGTATAGAGCAACAACGAAAATAGGTTAAGTTACAAAAAAAAAATCACCGTTGCATTGTTAATGTATAGGCCTATTGCATCTCTCCACAATGCATGCATGTATGAAGAAGTGGTTATATAGAAAAAAATAATAAAACAGCGTATTTAACCAGACCCTGGACAAATGTTAATTCATTATATATTACCATCATCAACAACAAAAAGGCAAAAATTTTCAGAACAAAATAAAACAATGTTGAACAGATATAACACATAAGGTGACAAATTTTCATTTGTAAAACAAATATTAAATATTAAAAAATAAACGTTAATAATTTCTGAAACCGCCGTGGCCAATACAAATGCAACATCTAGCCTACAAGCTTAAAGTTATTTACGCATCTCCCCCTTCTCTCTCTCTCTGATCTTTCAGTGGGTTATCTGATACATGTATCATAGGTAATTATTATAAGATTAGATCTACACAAATTTAAAAAGTAACAAAGGAATGCAGTGGGATATTTAACAGATATGTCAAAGAGACAGTTATTTTTACAAATCGTTGTAAAATGTGGAAAAAAGAAAGTAACAATTACATTAACGTAAAAGATTGACTGTCCCGATTTGCCGTTTTCTCCCAAATGTAACTGATACCACAAAATAGAGTGGTCATTAGAGAAAGCGCACGCAGAAGTTGAAAGACATTCAAGCCCCCCTCCTGCTCCTTCACACATCTCTCTCTCTCTCCCACAGGCACACACACTCACACACACAACCACACACACACAGTCTCTCTATCTGATGTTTCAATAGGTTTTTTGCTTTAATTCCTTAAATTATTTTTTTCCTTTCTCTACAAGAAAACATTATTTTAACAGATACACTGTATGTCTAGGAGACCATTTTGTTTTTACAAATCATTGTAAAATGTGGAAAAAAGAAAGAATCAATAATATTAACGTAAAAGATTTACTGTCCTAATTTGCCGTTTTCTCCCAATTTGTAACTGATACCACATGAGTTGATAGGTCATTAGAGAAAGCGAACGTAGGAGTTGAAAGGCATTCAACCCCACTCTTGCTTCTTCACATCTGTTTCTCTCTCTCTCTCTNCTAACCTCTGTTTCTGGTCTTGGTATCAGAACTGGTGGCTCCATCTTCAGTACAAGTTCACAGAAATCCCATTCTCCTATCACGTACTGCACCGGTGCCTTCTCAAGGCGTCGTCGGCACATTCTGTCAATGTTTTTGAACTGTTCCTCCTTAACCAAAGTTGACTCCTTGTCCAAATTCCATAAAGTTTTCTTCCCTAATGCATGGGCTATGATGTAATTTGTTGACGCTTCTGGTTCACTTATTCCACAATCAGTGAATTTAGAGTTCCAAAACGAAAACAGTGTATTTACTTTCATTCCTGGTGTATATTGAATATTGCCACTGGCTTTATTAGGAGCATCAAGTGTGCAATTATTTCTTTTTATTGTCAAAGAATGTGTCAATTCCTTTTTCTTAAATGGGTAAAACATTGGGCATTGTTTTTTATATGGTGATACATAACTTGCTGGCCAAATTGTACCTGCAGCATACAAACCACAGGCTGAATGCAGGTGTAGACATCTTGTGGTAAGATTCATTTCACTTTTATTGTTTCTAGGGCTCACTTTCATTTATAAATTTCTCCTACGATCTCCATGGCCTGAAATAAGTTTATGGTGAAAATGGTGAAAATAAACAAAAAAGACCAATAAATAAAATCAATAGGATATAATACAGCTCAGGCATAACAGAGATAATCTACTTACACATCTCTCTCTCTCTCTCTCTCTCTGATGAGCCAATACAATAGCCCTCCAGCTGGAGTTTGTGCATGAGAAAAGGTTAACATTATAGAAAGAGGTACAGGGTGATGTTAAGAATAAAAATGAAGTGTGCATTACGTTTAATATACCTCGTGTAACGTATATCTCATATGCATAGTTCGCCTTCTACAAATTAATCATTACCTTTAACTTGCATCCTCCTAACCCAAAAAGTAGGTAGTAGTAGTTTTCAAAACAAGACTAATTTCACGTGTGGCGCATGCGCATTTCATACTTCCGTCAATCCGCCGGTGGAATGAAAACAAGTGTCCTCCAAATTTTTGCCGGTAAGTATGTAATATAAATGGGTGTTGCCTGTGATTATCGCATCGTATGAAAATGGATTTTGGTTTTCTAGTGAAGGGTTAAACGAGCAAATGGACAGAGTTAGACAAATGAAGATGTAATATTCCCACAGCTGTTGCGAGTGCCAGCTGATTTTTTCACAATCACAGAGCTTGTATCAATTTATGTAACTTGTAAGAGGTTTTAACACAAGGATTTAATTCATGTGTAATAAACTCATTTCATAATTTAAAGCTTTTAATGTTAATGGTTTACATCCCTTGGGGGGGGGATAAAGTGTTGGAAACTGGTCCTCCCATGAAAAACAATATGAGAAACGCTGGCAGTGTCAGTAACACTGTCACCCTGAGTGTCAAGGGTCCCCACGGAAACACACCTTTATACGGAGATACTGTGTCACTCTCAGCATGTCTGTTACTAGAACCGTGCTGAGAATAGAGATCTAAGACTTTCCAGGGACCTCTGAAATAGGTTTTGACTACTGTAAGCAACTCGGCTTTTTTAAATACATCACACAGAACACATTTTTGTTTTAACAAATTAAAATTATACTTTAATAAAAATTATAATCCGCTTTGCTTCATGGAGGATTGCACATAAGACTTGTACCACTGTTGTCCACTGTCCTACTTGTCCATACAAATTATCATTAAGTCTGCAGTGTTTGTTTCATACTGGAGTTTAATAAAGGTTTTGTTTAGACTGTTATTAAGGCTGTAGACAGTAGAGAGACTGAGATATTGGTACTTGTTACTGACACATGATTATGTATGTACAGTGAATTTCTTTATCTGTCTGCAATCAGTTTTACTGAATGACGCGCCTTTTCCTTTTAACCTGGTTATTATATGAGCACATTAACAGAACAAAATAACCAGAAAAAATATCCAGTGATGAATTTTGTCAACTTATTTTTTCATTGCCACACTGTCATTATTCGTGAGATTTTTTTTTTTTTACATAAATAAGTACAAGTTGTCACATGACTATAGATATTTCTGTATGCTAATCAGATTCTGAATAGTGACTAAACACAATAATTGTAGCATTTACTCACCATATGCTATGAAGCATTTTTACTTGATGCAATTTTATATCGAGACTGAAACCATTACGTATAGGTAATTCCCAGGTATTCATGACAACGTAATGGAGATGTGTGGCAGGGAGAATAATTGCACAGTATTGATTTCCAGTTCAAGCACTGGTCTTGGTGAAAGAGAAATCATGACTTCATAACAATCAAGAAAAAGTGATATCAATGCAATTATTAAGAAAGTAATTTTGATTTAGATTTGCTTACCAGTATCCCAGTTAATGAAGGAAAACTAATAAAGGCACAGTTCAGATTGAAGTGAAAGGGTTTACTACTATAAGTTTGGTGTCCGTTTTGTACAGCAGAACATTTCTCCACAGTGGAAATTTTACATTTTGTGGGCTTGCCTCAGAAGTCCAAGGCTTCGTTCACATGCAGTGTCTATTTTCTAAATTCTATTTTCTATTCGCGCTATCTTATGATCACGGTCTGTGCACTGAATATCCTGCCGCGTAATTACTGGCAGCGCGAGCCAGTTACTTATAGTAATTACCAGTAATTACGCGGCGGGATATTCAGTGCACAGACCGTGATCATAAGACATGCCGCAAATAGAAAATAGAATTTAGAAAATAGACATTGCATGTGAACGAAGCCCAAGTCTCATTTTCGAAAAATAAGACTAACAGATGTGGCAATCACAATATATCATAAAATTTAATCCCCTTTTCTTGAATTTTTTCAGGAAGATGAAGTGCATTTGAAATATCATCTCTCGGAGACGAGACATTTCTGGCTCCCAGAGATCTAGTGAGCGATTCCAGTAGCACAAGTCAACTTGGCACCAGTGTACTTACACAGAACAATGCAATATGATTCACAGCAGGTAGAAGTGGAAGAAATCAATTGGGTTCTGTCTGCATTTTACAGCAGCTCATGATCAGGTATAGTTCATGATCCCGGGTGATAATTGATATTGAAGAACAGAAGCAAGACAGGGCATGTGTTTGTGGATACGGTCCACATTTGACCAGGTGAATTAAGCCGGAAGTTGCTTCAATCAGTGGATATTTTCCTACTCTTGTTGAGCAATATTCTTTCTTTTCTGTTTGAGAATAGACAAAAAAGGAGGCAGCCAAGTGGACCTGTATCTCAGGCTAATCATTTGTCCATGTGTTTCTGACTCAGAAAATCTTCAAATGTTCCTCCTCCCCCCCCCATCCTCCTCTACCCCCACCCCCACCCCACTTTAGTATTTCACATCAGATCTTCTTTTGAAAATAGAAACAACTCTCTTCTGTCAGCTACAGGATCTGGAAACTCAGCCGCATTTAAAAAAAGCAGGGTTGATTTGACTCTTAATTTAAGCAGGTATCCCACCTTAGTTATGAGAGTCTGAAAAGTGACAAATTGAAAGGCAGTGCTCTTAATTTAAAAATAGCATTGATGTACAAGAATCTAGTTCATCAATTATACTTGTGCTTCAAAGTCACGAAACAATTAAGTGCAGAGATAGCCTGAATAATATAGAAAAGTGAATATTCTAAAAATAAGATTGTTCTATCAGGCTTTGTGTTTCAAGTCGATCATTAATGAAAAAGATCATGATTTTATATTTAAATACTATTGGAGACATATTCTCAGGAGCCACACAGGAAAGAAAATGTTTCGTAAGTGAATATATTATCAGTGACATCAAGGAACTCTCAAACATATCTATTAGAGCCTTTGGCAGTCATATTCTGCATAGAAGAATACATCCTGTTTGATGAGGAGAAACCCTAGTAGTTTCAACATTAAGACTCACACATGGGCATTTTTTGCTTGTAGACAAGTTTTCAGCAAAGGAATTTCACATTAATCTGAAATATCGTCACCAGTATGGCAGTTATATTTCCATCCTTGGAGGTGATTTTGAACATACCTATTTTTATTAGTCTTGGAGCTGAAGAAGCCCAGGCGTTACTTGTCAGTTCTGTGCTGTGTTATTGTGCTATAAGATACTTCACAGAAACACAAAAAAAATTAAGACTGTCTAACCAAGATTGAGGCACGAGTTACTCAGTATGCATGGATTCTCCAAGTGATGTATCACTTTTAATGGAATAGGATTTATTTTGTATTACTGGCCTACTGTAATTTACTTGCAGTTTCTTTTTACCAAATGAAAGCAAAACTGGCAATTTGTTGAATGGTGTACATTACAACCTTTTAAACACAAATCTTCTAATTGACTGCCTGTAACAATACCAGTTTAACCTTCACAGTGATTCACTTTTCATTTGATAGTGGGTGATCAGTTATTATTGATACGTCATGTATCAGGATCATGTTGCTTTCCATAAAGGAAACAGTGACTGGTTGAGAAGATATTAAATACATGGTGACATTTACGATATGAATTGAAAAAAACAGGAGAAACAAGCGTTACATGTTTGGATCATAATAGTAAGATTTTGTATTTACAGGTTTTATAAACGGTGTTAACAAAGATTGCCACAATGAATTTTAGCACAACTGTAATGGCAGGCACAACAGCTGCACGCTCCAATGCTGTTATAGGATACGGTAGTGCCAACAACACAAGTAGCACGGGGCTTCATGTTATCCAGGTCGCCCTGCAGCCATCTTCAACTACAACATTGGCGATGACGACAACATCGACAACGACAGCAACAGTATCATCTGGGGCACATGTCAGCAGTGCGTTGGCCTATGTGTTGATACCTTTGGCGACACTGTTCATCATTGGATTGGCAGTATTTTTGGTAAGGAAAAAAAAATAGATAATATACCACTGTACAGAAATATGATTTTAAAGATTTAACCAGTAAGGCCAGATTTTCAATCATTTGCACATTTAATTATAATGTCCAACTTAAAAATTGTTTCTAGGCAAAGGAAACGATGATAATATCATGCCAGTTATTTTTGAATGAATAACTTGACAGTCAAATAATTTGAGTTCGATTTTCATATTTTTGTAAGTTTAAATATCTTTATCAGTTCCTGCCAGGTGTACATCAGTATGAATATTTTACATGTTTGGACAGTAATTGAGATAAATCATTTAATTGAATAGGAAATGAGATTTTTTTTTCAATTTTTTCATCCTTTTTTCAATGCCCCATAGACCTTTCAATAACATAATGATTTTTTTCTTACTTCAGATTATATTCATAGTAAGACGTAAAAGGTAAGGGTGACTATAAATCAATATTTTCCTGCAGTAACATGCAACCTTCGTCTCCTGAAATCCCATTAGTATCAAGTTAATAGGTTTGATAATGAAAATGTCAACTAAAGGAGGCAGATAAAGGGGAAAATTAAACCCCCCCCCCCACCCCCCCACACACACACACCTCCTCCGCTGTGCTCTTGCACCTGCTGTTTTAGCTACTTCCTTTTAAAGAGAGAAAATGTTGATATGAGACACACAGGTGAAAGTGCTCCAATTTTTAATTATTTTTATTTTATTTTGTTATTATTATTATTATTTTTTTTTTTTGAGGGGTCATGAAGGAACAAAAAAAGACCTTGTTTATTGGAACAAGTTGCACTGAACTCAAAAACAGATTTTTTTCTTCTTAAGAGGTGCACTTTTCTCGAATGATCACGTTGCTAATTTCAGAATTGACAAGTTACGCCATGCCATGATGCCGGTGTATAGCTACGATCCCGAGGAGGAAGGTGGAGACTGGGAGTCAGAACTCCTGGAAGATGATAGAGAGGCTCAGAGATCGCTTAATGTAAAGGTATGGGTTAGTTGGCTAAAATAGAGGCTCAGAGATCGCTTAATGTAAAGGTATGGGTTAGTTGGCTAAAATAGAGGCTCAGAGGTCGCTTAATGTAAAGGTATGGGTTAGTTGGCTAAAATAGAGGCTCAGAGGTCGCTTAATGTAAA